CGATTTTTTTGCGGCTTTTTCTCTCTTTGGCCAAAGCGGAGCTCGCGGCTGTTTATCAATTAAATCAATTAAATCAATTAATTAAATTCAATAAATTCAATAAATTCAATAAACTCAATAAATTCAATAAAATTAAAAATTAAAAAAGATGAAAAATCCCCCAAAATTCGCTTTTTCACCCCCTCCCCTTCGCGCAGGAAAATCCGAATTTTTGGGGTTTTTGGGGGGGCTCCGGGAAATTCCCAGCCCTGCAAATTCTTCAAATTCTTTTCTCTTTTTATTTCTTTTTATTTTAATTTTTTTTTTTTTTAATTTTTCTCTTCCCGCCTGGAAATTCCCCAAAATTCGGGTCCCGATTTCCTGCGCGGCCAAATTTTATTTTTTCTTTTTTTTTTCTCCATTTTTTCCCCATTTTTTTTCTCCTTTTTTTCCCAATTTTTCCCTTTTTTTCCTCATTTTTTTCCTCCTTTCCCAACAATTCCAAACCTTTCGATCCCGGCCGCATTAAATTATTTATCACCATTAAATTATTTATCGTTATTAAATTATTTATCGCTATTAAATAATTTATTATTTAAATTTAAAAATCACCAAAAAAGGGGGAAAAGAATTCGAGGGAATTTTGGGGAATTTTCCTTTTCTGGGATTTTTTAATGGGAATAAATTAAAATAAAAATAAAGAAATAAAAGTAAAAAAATCGGGAGGGAGGAGAAGGGAATGGAATAAAATAATTATGAAATAATATGAAATAATATAAAATAATATAAAATAATATAAAATAGAAAACATGAAATACAAAATACAAAATATAAAATATAAAACATAAAATCTAAAATATTAAATATTAAATATTAAAATTAAATTATAAAATACAGAAGAAAAGCGGGATTAATAATAATAATTATTATTAATAATAATGATATTAATAATTTGTTTTCCGTGCTGTCCAGAGGAATAAAAGAGAATTTAAAAAATAATTTTTTTTTTCCCAGCGGGGAGGAGCGAAAAGAAAGGAAATGAGGAATTAATTAATGAATAAATTAAAAATTAAATCAATCCGTGGAAATTCCGCTTTTTTTCCCCCATTTTTCTCTTTTTAATTTTTATTTTTTGGGGATTTTTTTTGGGATGGGGGCGCCTCAAATCTTGCCCAAAATTCCGGGAAAATTCCGATTTTTTTTTTTTTTTTTTTTACGGATTTTTCCTTCCAATCCCCCCCCCCAAAAAATAAATTAAAAAAAAAAAATTCCCTCGTTTTCCCAACGGCGACAAAAACGGGACGCCAAAACCTTGAAAATAATTGGATTTTATTGAGATTTTATTGGGATTTTATTGAGATTTTATTGGGATTTTATTAGGATTTTATTGGGAATTTATTGGGAATTTATTGGGAATTTATTGGGAATTTATGTGGATTTTATTGGGACTTTATTAGAATTTTATGAGGATTTTAATGGGGTTTTATTAGGATTTTATTGGGAATTTATTAGGATTTTATTGGGAATTTATTGGGATTTTATGAGGATTTTATGAGGATTTTATTGGGAATTTATTAGGATTTTATTAGGATTTTATTAGAATTTTATGAGGATTTTAATGGGGTTTTATTGGGGTTTTATTGGCATTTTCCCCCAATTAACAGCGAATTTAATGAGATTTTTTTTTTAATTTTATTTTTTTTTTCCCTCGTTCCTCTCACCGGAGAATCCTCCAGGATAAAAACCCAAATTTGGGATTTTTTACCCCAAAAAAAAGATGAACCAGAGGCGGCACCGCTCGCTTTTAATCTTTTTTTTTTAATTATTTTAATTATTCTTTAATTAATTAATATCGCCGTTTACGTCGCGGCTCACGGACACAAAAAAACCCAAAATTTGAATTTTTTTCATTTATTTTTCCCTTTTTTTTTCTCAGAACGACGAAATCCCATTTTAATTTCATTTTTAATTCCATTTTTAATTCCATTTTTAATTCCATTTTTCATTTCATTTTTAATTTCATTTTTAATTAATTAATCCCCCCATTACAAAAAAAAAACCAAAACCACTCTAAATTTTTTTTTCCGTACAATTTTTTTTATTATTATTCTTCTTTCCTTTTTTTTTCTTTTTCTTTTTTTTTTGCATTTTCCCGAGCATGAACAGATAAAAGTCAAGACAAATCATCAATAATTAATTAATTATTCTACATTCAGTGCAATTGATTCCTACGCTACTTAATAAGCACAATAAAATAATATCAAATAATAATAATAATATTAATAATAATAATAATAATAATAACAATACTGTGCGTTCTCCACTAGGCAGTTTCAGTTGTTGGGATTTTTTTTTAATTTTTTTTTTTTTTGTCATTTTTATTTTTTTTTTTTTATTCTTTTATTTTTCGATCATTAATCGTCATCAATTAATTAATTCCAAGAAAAATAAGCAGCAACGAACGACAATAAAACCGCAATTACAAAGACTTCCAAAGCATGACTCCTATAATTACAATACAAGGTTGGCTTTTTAATTAGGTTTTTTTTATTATTATTAATTATTATTATTAATTAATTAATTTTTTTTTGGCTACTTAGTAGCTTTGCATCGGGGCCCGCTCGCTTTTTTCTTCTTTTTCTTCTTTTTCTTCTTTTTTTTCTTCTTTTTCTTTTCTTCTTTTTCTTCTTTATTTTTTCTTCTTTTTCTTCTTTTTCTTTTCTTCTTTTTCTTCTTTTTTTTTCTTATTTTTCCTCATTTTTATTCTTCTTTTTTTTCTTATTTTTCTTCTTTTTTTCTTCTTCTTTTTCTTCATTTTCTTCTTATTTTTCTTATTTTTCTTAATTTTCTTAATTTTCTTAATTTTCTTAATTTTCTTCTTTTCCCTCTTTTTCTCCTTTTTCTCCTTTTTCTCCTTTTCCCTCTTCTTTTTTTTTTTTAATAATTAAAAAAAACAATTAAATTTTTTTTTATTATTATTATTATTTCTTTTCCCCGAGCGAAATGGAAGATCTGGAAGCCCCTGGTTGCTTTAATTAAAGGTTTGATAATTAATTAAATTATTGCAGGTTTTCCCTTTTTTTTTTTGTTTTTTTTTTGCTTTTTTTCATTTTTTAGGTGGTGCAGGAAGAACTCGGAGTGCTGGCAGAGAGGGGGGAAAATGGGGAAAAAAACGGGAAAAACGGGAAAAAAACGGGAAAAAAAAGAGAGAAAAATGAGGGAAAAATAAACAGAGAAAACGGGAAAAAATGGGGGAAAAAAAGGGAAAATATAGAGAAAAATTGGGGGAAAAAAGTGGGAAAATAGGGAAAAAAAATGGGGAAAAAATGGAAAAAACAAAGGGTGGGGTGAGCGGCTCGGCCTGTCCCGGGATTCCCAAAAATTCCCAAAAATTCCCAAAAAATTCCCCCAAAAATTCCCCAAAATTCCCCCAAAAATTCCCAAAAAATTCCCCAAAAAATTCCCCCAAAATTCAAAAAAAATTCCAAAAAAATTCCCCAAAAATTCCCCCCTAATTCAAAATATTTGGGGCTTGCGAAGGAGAATTCCAGGAAAATTTTGGGAAAATCCCCCTGGGGTCGTGGGGAGAATGAGAGGGGGAAAAAAATTCCTTAAAAAATAAAAAATTTCCCCCCAAAAAAACCCGAATTTGGGAAATTCAATTTTTATCCTGATTTTATTTCTTTTTTTTTTTAAATTTTTTTTTTGGTGCGTTTAAGGAGCTCAATAATAAGAAATTTCATTTTTAATTGGATTTTTTTCCCCCTCCCCTTTTATGGATTTTTAAATTGAAAAAAATAATCAGGAATTAAAAAAAAAAAAAAAAATTAAGAATTCCCAAATTCGGGTTTGGGAGCAGCCGAGAAATTTCATTTTTAATCCGATTTTTTTTCCCCCTTAATTTTGAATTTTTTTAAGAAGGGGAGGCGGATTAAAAAGAGAAAAAAATGAGAAAATCGGGGAAAAATTGGGGGAAAAAACAGAAAAAGGAAAAAAAGGATCAAGATGGGGAAAATTTATTAAAAATTGGGGGAAATTGATAAAAAATGAGGGGGAAAAGGATAAAAAATGGGGAAAAAAGGGAATTTTTTAAAGGAAAATCTAAAGGCGGGCAGGACCGAGGGAATTTTGTCACCCCGGTAATAAAAAATTAAAAATTAAA